AACTTTAAAATCCAGCTCGATAAAATTAGTAAAACAAATGGAGCAACCTTTCACAAGCCAACGGCTTCCTGTCCTCGTCGAAGCCTAGTAAGATAGTGACACAGGTAAAATTATTAGAGTACAATGCTGGAGCGCCATCGCTAACGTTGATACAATGTTGATCCAACGTCATTTAAGTGTTCATTTTGGTGAGATACCTTATATATGCAGGATATAATTAATAATAATTGATTGTGTCGCAGAAGCAGGAAGAGACAGGAAGCCAGAGTGTAATATCATATAGGATAGTAGCATAATACTGCTCTCACCTAGTTGTACTCAGCTCTTTGGTCCCGCCTCTCAACTGTCGATCAACTGATGTATAAATTATGTGTTTGTAGATCAACTGTGTTTATATATCTAAGCTTGTTAATTAAAAGATACAAACAAATCGAGTGAGTCAATAACGATGGTCAGCTTTCAGCCTCTGATTCTGCTATTGAGTTCAATAGGTTCTTCTCTTCCATTGGGTCATCCCTTGCAAATGATATTCCATCTTCCAGTACTGACGTTAAGGACTATCTTACAGGTAACTATCCACAGTTTCTGTACCTAAAGCCTATTAATTCCACTGACGTCAATGAGATAATCCTTTCCGTTAAAACCAAGTCTAGTGCCCTTGAGGAGATACCAACTTTAATTTACAAAAAAGCCTCCAGATCTTTAGCCCCTGCTATTGCATTGCTCTTCAACAAGTCACTTGAACTCCAAACCTTTCCAGATATTCTAAAAAAAGCGAGAGTAACGCCTGTCCACAAATGTGGTGATCTCACAGATGTTAACAACTACAGACCTATATCAATCCTGCCAAACTTGTCAAAATTTTTTGAAAAACTAATCTATAAGCAGCTTTACTCGTATCTAGCCAAACACAATATACTTAGCCCTTGACAATATGGCTTCAGACCCCCAAAAAAGCACTAACGATGCACTTATTAGTATGCTTAACTCGATTCATACAGCTCTTGATAAAAATGAGTTCCCTGTTGGGTTATTTGTGGACCTGCGTAAAGCTTTTGACACTGTCAACCACCAAAACCTTCTTCTTAAATTACATCATTATGGAGTCAGAGGACACTCCCTGCAATACCTCAAATCCTACCTTACTGACAGGCTCCAGTATGTTTCTGTGAATAATTCAATTTCTCCCACCCTACCCATCAACATTGGTGTTCCTCAGGGCAGGATACTTGGCCCTCTCCTCTTTCTCATCTACATTAATGACCTTCCAAATGCCTCCCAACACCTCAAACCAATTCTGTTTGCTGACGATACAACCTTCATTTACTCCAGTCCTGACCCCCTTGCTCTAAATGCCACAGTAAATACTGAGCTAAATAAAGTCCATCTTTGGCTAACTGCCAACAAACTCACCCTTAACATTGACAAAACTTTCTATATTCTGTTTGGCAATAAATCCTCTAATCAAATAAATCTCAAAATAAACAATACCCAAATTTGTAACAAATTAGAAGGCAAATTCCTTGGCATTCTCATTGACCACAAGCTGAATTTCCAGGGACACATTCTAAATATATCAAAAAAAAGTTTCAAAAACTGTTGGCATTCTTTCTAAGATCAGATATTATGTACCCCGCCCTGCCCTGGTGACTCTCTATTACTCCCTTATCTATCCATATATCAACTATGGTATTTGTGCTTGGGGCTCTACTACCCAAAATCATTTACGTCCTCTAATTACTCAACACAAAGCTGCTATTAGGACAATTTCCAACTCTGGCCCCAGACATCACTCGGTACCCCTACTCAAATCTCTGAATATGTTAGACATTAAGTCACTGCACATTCTCTCATGTGTATTATACATATATAAAACGCTAAACTGTAATGCCAATCCTGACCTCAAAAGCTTCATAGAAGGTTGTAACAGAACCCATGAGCACCACACCAGAAATAAATACAGTTTTGATATTCCTAGAGTACGACTTAATCAAACTAGAAATGCTCTACAAATCAAGGGACCCAGATTGTGGAATGACCTTCCCAACCATGTTAAAGACTATACCTCTCTCAACCAGTTTAAGATAAAAACGAAGCTATACCTAATAAATTCCCTGTAACCTACCTTACCCCTTTATTTTTATTTTTTTATTTTATTTATTTATATATATACAAGAAGGTACATTGGGTTTGTGAGAATACATTGGATAGTACAGTATTTACATTCTTGTAAAGCCACTAGTACGCGCAGCGTTTCGGGCAGGTCCTCAATCTAGCAGATAATTTTAAGTAGGTAATTTCAATCAGAATTGATAAATGAAAGATACATTACAAGAGAAAAATGAGATGAGAGAGATAAGTAAGTATATTAAAGCACATTGTTATATTAAAGCTCTGATTGATTACATTGACAGCTTGATTAGCAATTTAAACAAGATTAATAGACACCATACTTTTGACACCATAGTTATTAGATAAGGTAAAATACACAAATTATTTATTTATTTATTTATTTATTTATTTATTTTTTTATTTATTTATATACATGAAGGTACATTGGGTTTGTGAGAATACATAGCATAGTATTTACAATCTTATAAAGCCACTATAGTACGTGCAGTTTTGCGAGGGCAGCGGCGAGGGCAGGCGGAGTGAGGCAGAGCCCCAGTGTGCGCCCGTATTTATACAGGCCCCAAACTGCCCGCGCAACGCCGCGGGACGCGCTGCGCAATTGTTTCTTTCTCCCCCGCCAGAAAAATCCCCGCTTGCGATCAAGCAGTGACCATATATAAAGAGGGTTAGGCTGCTATACTTTATCAATAAAGTAGAGTCAAATAAGTTGTATTATCAACCTAAAAATGTAAATAAAATGACGAGGCATCCAATGTGCAGCGATACTTCTCCATGAGATCAGTACCAATTATGAAGGGAGTCTCTTCCTCAGGGAGTACCTGTAGTTGGTCTTCAATGTAGGTGTCGCCTCCCATGTGGAATCGAATTGTTTTGGGTGGCTTATTTTCCAAACCAATGCTTTTCAGGAAAAACCTTGAAATGCTGGTCTTTTCTGAACCTGTATCAACCAGTATCTTATCGGTTAGTGTATGTTGTGCCTTAATTGGCAACTTTATTCGTATACAAGATTGTAAACAGGAGGCTAATCCAAACCCTTTATATATATAGGGTCTTAGTTTCTTAAAGTAGAGCTATGATTTATTACTGTGAAACTACTGTATGACGTGGTACTCGGTCATTAATGGGAAACAAAAATTAAAATTGGGGATTGGGTCGTGGTCGTAGTAATTGTCCATTTCCGGAGGGTAAACTAGTAATTCTGCGACTAATTCCTTACCGTTTTGTAGCTGTATCTTAACATTTTCTACTGTACTCATAGTGACGTCTTTTACTTCCCTATAAAGTTCTACTTTAGTGGAGAAACTCTCGGAAACCATCTTATCTAATCCTAATCTCTTCGCTTCTCGATGTTCTATGAAGTTAGCTGTCGACCCGCTGTCAACGAACATAGTAGAGGGTTTCCCATTAATTTTCACTTGGAGGTGATTATGGTCCTCCAGAGCAACCTCCTCCATACCCTCTAGTGACGGGGGATCACACATTATAGGCTGATGAAGGAAGTATATTGTCAGCACCTCGCCATTATCGCTGATCTCATAGCACCTGTCTTCGAGTTTTGGCCTTTTACTGTGGCTATTGTGCTCATCCAGGAGCCTTTTGGATCCGCCTACGACTTTTTCCATGCCAGTAGCCATGACTGAGGAGAGTGGAGGGGGACTGGAGCTGAAGCTCGACCCTTCGTCCATATTCTCGTCTTATATTGGGTCTCTGTCTCAGACTCGAACTGTATAATATATCCTAGATCCATCATAATATAGTCATGTACATCTTTTAGATTTAACTTTCAATAACGGTTTTGTATTTATAAATTTATATTTTGTGGTAAATACACAAGTAAATACACCAGTAAAGTATATTTTGTATTATAATAATAATTCCAATTTTTGAGAAGAGCGGGAAAATATTAATAATGTGCGCCGTGTTCGAAGACTGGACCAAGTACGAGAAGGTGCAGCCCCGCTGGACGGGGAAGGCATATAAACTGCTTTATGCAGGTGCCGACATATATGGGAACCTTACTAACTTTACTTAGCTCAACCTAACACAACCCAGCCAAATACAGTCTAACCTAAGCTAATACATCCAGGCATAACAATATACAAAAAAGGTTTTAACCAAGAAAACCTGGTCGTATGGTCGTATTTAACCTGGTCGTATTCCAGGGAACATGAGATTAAGGATTTGCTCGAAACGCTACGCGTACTAGTGGCAGTACAAGAATGTAAGAACTTTATTGTCAACCAATGTCTGTTTTTTTTTTAAAGAGCGCTGTTTGTCGACAGAATTGTATTTGTGCTGCTTTTTCAGCTATGTTTTCATTTCATGTTTTCTTTTTACTCTTTATGCTCAATTAGTATTAAGCTTTAGTCATTCAAACAATTCTTCGCGGCAGGGGATCGTATTCCAGGGACCGTAGGATTAAGGACTTGCCCGAAACGCTACGCGTACTAGTGGCTGTACAAGAATGTAACAACTCTTGTATATATCTCAAAAAAAAAAAAAAAAAAAAAAAAAAAAGTTTTTCATGCCCGAAACGTTTTGCGTAATAGTGGCTTTAGGCATTGTATGTACTAGCTCTATCTATAAGTCCACCAATCTTTGTAAAAATTTCTTGTATGTATGTACCTTACCTAAATAAACATTATTATTATTATTATTATTTATTATAGTATATGCAACATATTAAAATAATAAGAGTATAGGGGCTGTGTGTATATATATATATACTGAACGTGTGCTTTAGCAATATGTTTGAGAAAAAGTGTCGTTATTTTGCAATACTGAAGGAAAAAATGTGGGAGGAAAAGGGCGATGGTGGTAGGTTAGGAAGGTTGAGAGAGAGAGAGAGAGAGAGAGGGGAGGGGGGTGGTGGGAGCCAGGTGGGTTGTGAGGCGGGAGGCGGCCACAACACCAACAACAAGCGGGCCTCACCATGAAGACTGTCTTTATGGTGGCTGAGAAGCCCTCCCTGGCACAGTCTCTCGCAGAGATTCTCAGCAACAGGAAGAACACCACCAGGAAAGGTAATGAGGAGTCACCTTCAGGAGTACGTGTAAAGGTTAGAAAATCACCAAGAAACTCTGGTAAATTCAAGTTTTCATCACCACCCAACATGACGGTGCCTCATCTCCACAATTTTCATGACTTGTCCTGTTAATTTGGTTTAAATGACACCTTTAGCTGGTTGAGGAGTTCGTGACTAAAGTTTGTACTGTGGAAACTAGAGCTAAACTCTAGTTTTTACTAGTGTCATTAGTGATAAGAGACGACTACTGTGAATATACCTTTGCTCAGTTCTCGATTAAATCCCCTAAATTGTCTTTGACTCTTGGAGCTATCAATAGATTTCTCAATATTAATATATCTGCATTCTCAGATAACCTAAGGAATCTAATTATAAAGAAGCTCAACGAAAATCACATCATTCTAGGAGGTGACTTAAGTATTAACCTGTGTCAGTAAAATAGCCCACAAGTCGACTATTTCTTCAACAGCATGAACTCCTGTATGCTAATCCCCACACTCGCCAAGCCCACTCGAATCGCTCAAATATTTACTCAAACATTCGCTACTACCTTGGACAGGTAGTAAAGGTTAATATGGACTTACATAATGGTGCCTCTTTTTTTTGTTTTGTTTTCTTTTTATATATGCAATAGTTCTTACAGTTTTGTAAAGCCACTACCATGCATAGCATTTCGGGCAGGTCCTTAATCCTAGTTTTCCCAGGGGATACAACCCGCCAAATCATTTAACAACCAGGTTACTGTAAGTCATTTAATTCACTGCTGGGTAAACAGAGACTACATTTAAGGATTGGCACCCAGTCAATCCTCCCCCGGCCAGGATATGAACCCAGGCCAAAGCGCTCGCGAAGTGTCGAGTGAGTGTTTTACCACTGCACCACGGGGGACTAATCAAGGCTCACATCTGAGGGTTGTCGCCATTGGGAGGGTGTGACGAAACCTCCAGCCTTGGAAGGAGAAGTATTAGTGGATCGCAATGAGGATGCTACTCTGCCACCTACAACACCCTGACTGGTACATAAGTCGTCTATGAACGATTTGGTACAACACATTAGCATTAGATATTTCCTCATTTGAGATGGGGATGCCTGCACTGTTTGGCATGACTTCCCCGGGTTCTACTTACATGGGTTCATTCAATGCATCGCCTCTCCTTCCTCCTCCTGAGAGAGAGTGAGAGATGGGGTGGGGGGGAGAAGTCTGGAATGGCATGGGTGTCTCTCCTTTAGACTCTGGTCTTTGACCATTCCAATCCCAGCTGTACATGATATCTTATATATGTGTGTGTAATTACCTAAGTGTAGTTACAGGATGAGAGCTACGCTCGTGGTGTCCTGTCTTCCCAGCACTCTTTGTCATATAATGCTTTGAAACTACTAACGGTTTTGGCCTCCACCACCTTCTCACCTAACTTGTTATAACCGTCTACCACTCTGTTTGCGAAAGTGAATTTTCTTATATTTCTTCGGCACCTTTGTTTAGTTAGTTTAAATCTATGACTTCTTCGTTCTTGAAGTTCCAGGTATCAGGAAATCTTCCCTATCGATTTTATCAATTCCTGTTACTATTTTGTACGTAATGATCATATCACCTCTTTTTCTTCTGTCTTCTAGTTTTGGCATATTTAGTGCCTCTAACCTCTCCTCGTACCTCTTGCCCTTCAGTTCTGGGAGCCACTTAGTAGGATGTCTTTGCACCTTTTCCAGTTTGTTGATGTGCTTCTTAAGATATGAGCACCACATAACCGCTGCATATTCTAGCTTTGGCCTAACAAAAGTCGTGAACAATTTCTTTAGTATTTCGGCATCCATGTATTTAAAAGCAATTCTCAAGTTAGAAAGTGTGGCATAGGCTCCTCGCACAACGTTCTTTATGTGGTCCTTAGGTGATAGTTTTCTATTTAGAACCACCCCTAGATCTCTTTCTTTATCAGAATTCTTTAAAGATTTCTCACATAATTTATAGGTTGTGTTTGGGTCTATGTTTTCCTATTCCATATTCCATAACATGGCATTTATTCACATTAAATTTCATTTGCCAAGTGGGGCTCCATATACAGTACTTATTTTGTCCAGGTCTTCTTGAAGAGCATGACAATCATCTAAGTTTCTTATCCTTCCTATTATCTTAGCATCATCTGCAGGCATGTTCATATAATTCTGTATACCAACTTGTAAATCATTTATGTAGACAATAAACATCATTTTTGCAAGAACTGAACCCTGTGATACTCCACTTGTGACATTTCTCCAGTCTGATACGTTGCCTCTGATTACTGCATTTTCTTTATCAGAAAATTTTTCATCCATGTTAGAAACATACCTGTCACCCCTCCAATATTTTCCAGTTTCCAGAACAACCTCTTATGTGGAACTCTGTCGAAAGTCTTTTTTAGGTGCAGATAATTGCAGTCAACCTAACCATCTCTTTCCTGTAAAATCTCTGTGGCTCGATCATAGAAACTGAGTAAATTTGATACACAGGATCTTCCAGATTGAAAACCATACTGTCTGTCTGATATTATATCATTTCTTTCCAGGTGTTCTACTCATTTAGTTTTTATTATTTTTTCCAATATTTTGACTATTACAATTGTCATTGATACAGGTCTATAATTGAGGGGGGGGTCTACCCTGCTGCCACTTTTGTAGATTGGAACCATTTTAGCCTTTTTCCACCCGTCTGCTACGACTCCTGATCACAGGAATGTCTGAAAGATCAGGTGAAGAGGAATGCTGAGCTCAGATGCACATTCTCACATTCTCTCAGAACCCATGGTGAAACTCCATCTGGGCCAACTGTTTTGTTCTTATTTAGTTCCTTTAGCATATTTTCCACTTCATCTCTAGACACCTCTATATGCTCTATGTTGTTCTGGAATTCTTATTGTCTGGTTCTCTGAAGAGTTCATTTTGTACAAACACACTTTGGAACGTTTCGTTTAATGTTTCACACATTTCCTTTTCATTTTCTGTGAATCTGTTTCCCATTTTAAACCTCTGATATTATCCTTTATCTGCAATTTGTTGTTTATGAATTTGTAGAATAGGCCCAGTTCTGTTTTACATTTATGCGCTATACCTTTTTCAAAATTTCTTTCTGCCTTTCTCCTTACTGCCATATAGTTGTTTCACACATCTTTGTATCGGTGGTATTTTGGGGGTTTGGCCTCTTCCTATATTGATTCCATTTTTGTGTCTTTTGGTCTCTGGCCCTGCCCAATTTCTGTTGAACCAATCATGTTTCCTGGCCCTGCATCTCTGTTTTGGTATGAATGTTTGTGTGCCTTCATCGTATAATGGGTATTTTGCAAAATTTGGCATACATTTCATTTACTTCCCTGCCTAGCAACAGGTCTGTCCAATTACACTCATTAAATTTTTTTCGAAGTTCCCCATAGTGACCTCTCTTTAAATCGAGTTTATCAACTGTTTCAATGTCCCCATTTTCTTCTAGATGATATCTTAAAGCATATTTAATGTCTAACAGGACGTGATCACTCTTTCCCAAGGGAGGAAGGTACTGGATGTCAAATGTCTCTTCTTTCCTAGTGAATACTAGATCCAGTACTAATGGTACATCTCCTCACATTCTTGTGGCCTGCTTGATGTGTTGATACAAGAATGTCTCCAGAATGAGGTTCACAAATCTGCATGTCCAAAAGTCTTCCGTTCTTGCTTCATAGGCCTTCCGGTCTATTGCTTTAAAGGTGAAGTCCCCTAGTATCAACAGTTGTGATTTATCTTTATCTGCTTGTACAATAATATCTCTCATGACCATTATGAGGCCCTCTCGTTTGTCATCCAGTTCTTCCTTTGTCCATGTGTTGCTTGCTGGTGGGCTGTAGGCATTTAAAATTATCAGCTTATCATCCTGATTCCAGACCTGCAATGCCATTATGTCAATATCTCGAGGGTTTTCAAATATTAACTCTTAACTTCAGGTGTTCTTTCACCAGCACAGCCACTCCTCCCCCCTTCCTAGTTTTCCTGTCACGTCTCCAGACTAAATAGCCTCTTGGGAATACGACTTCATTAAATGTATTTCCTTCTAGTTTCGTCTCTGATAATGCGACAATATCTGGGACCTTAAGCTGAATTATATCTTGCAACTCCAAAATTTTTTTACCTCCATCAATGTTGGTATATACAATTTTCAGGAACATGTTCCCTTTCCCTTTGCTCTTTATTCCCCCTTCCACTAATGATTTTGTTGCCTTGTTTTTATGTACCATTTCACAAGCTTTCCAGTCCCTGACACTTTGTAGAAAAAAGAATTTGTCTTCATTTCTATCACCATTTAGACGTTTTGCTTCAATGAGGTTCATTTTCAGCTTTTCTGTTCTCCTTTGAGAGGACTTGTCTTATTGACCAAAGTTTGTCAACTTCTTCACTGCAATTTCCTGGCATTTCTAAGCACTTCCATCATGTTTTTCACTCCATTAAACGTCACCCTTAAGGGGCAGTTCTTGTCTTTCTCATATTTTCCTATTCTTCTAAAGTCACTAACGTACGTGTGTGTGTAATTACCTAAGTGTAGTTACAAGATGAGAGCTACGCTCGTAGTGTCCCGTCTTCCCAGCACTCTTTGTCATATAATGCTTTGAAACTACTGACGGTCTTGGCCTCCACCACCTTCTCACCTAACTTGTTCCAACTGTCTACCACTCTGTGTGTGTATGTATGTATGTAATGTATATATGTATATATGTGTGTGTAAAACTTGGCTTATTGGGCAAATCAGGCCTTGCATAGTAGGCCAAGAACTGCATTCTGACTACTAGGTACAACATATACTGTGTGTGTGTGTATATATATATATATAGTGTATGTGTGTATATATATGTGTATATATATATATATATATATATATATATATATATATATATATATATATATATATATATATATATATATATATATATATATATTTATATATTAACATATAACATATAATATATAATATAAATAATATGCATGCAATTGACGATCACAAAATACTGATCATTTTTATGCGGAAAATCCACAGAGAAATGTGAAAGGACGATGAATGTTTTGGCCTGATTAAAATCTTTTTCAACATCAGACTGACTAGAGGAAAGAGAGGGAGGGTACAGGCCAACACCTGGAACCTGACCACAGCGACGGTAGATCCCAAGGTGCTTGTGGAAGATGGCCCCAAGTCCCAAGGGCAGTACTAACAGGGCACCTAAGGAAGGAATCCCTACATGCATTCAGCCTGAGTACTGAAGAAATTACTCCTGGCGCGCACACTAACTGAAGAGACAGCACCACAAAAACAAGGCACAGAACTGAAACAATTTTCTGGAGCCAGAGGCACATGACCTTGCCAGTATCACATCAGCCAAGAACTGAAGGGTGGATAGCCAGTGTGAAGGTCTGGGGCTCCCCTTCCCCCTCCTGGGGAGGGGGGGGCTGCACAAACAGCAGAGCGGCAACGTGGTGACATCATGCTAGTTTGCTTGTTTTCACTTAGGGAGTTCTGTCCACTCATTCGACCCTTTTTAGCAATGTTTTCACCAGAATCAGGGTTTGTTTTGGGGTGTTTACCTTTCTCTGTGCCTGACCCGGTTGATGGTAGACATAGAATGCTTCCAACCACACGGGAGTTTCTATAGGCCATTGCTGCATATACCTCTCTGAGGGGTGGGCCAGGTTCTGGCTCGTGGTCACCCTGTAGGCCTAGAACTCCATGTACATTGACTGATGCCAGAAATCTAATATATCCATATCGGCTAGGATAGCTCCAGGGAGCCTCCGGGTCTCACCAGGAAAATGGCGTTTCATTACATTCAACGCTGTTTTTTTTTATTTTATTTTAGTAACCTAATCTGTGGTTATCCGAATTTCTATTTGGATATGGCGAAGTTTTGCTGGAAAATTATCTGTATTTGACTTAGATTCTGTGCCAGTCTGCATTATCCAGCCAAACCTAATCATTGAGGATAAGCACCTCCAAAGGATACCTGATCAACCAGGCTGTGACTCATACGTCAGGCTGCGAGCATCCGCGTCCAACAGCCTGGTTGATCAGTCCGGCAACCAGGAGGCCTGGTCGACGACCGGGCCGCGGGGACGTTAAGCCCCGGAAGCACCTCAAGGTCAAGGTCAAGGCCGGATAACCCAAATATTCAGTTCAGTGAGCTTCGGATAACCGAGCTCATACAGTTTATTATAGTACTATACTGTCCTGTATACTGTGTGTTATCAGTAAATTAAATATTAAACCAAACATGGTAGAGTTTATGCTAAATTTTCACTTTTTATTAAGTTACATAATGAATAAAGTTTTACTGTACCTTTGTGAAATCTTTCATATGTACATATGAAATCTTCTAGTACTTTTTAATGTGCAGTATATAATGGTTTATGTAAATGAATTATCTTGCTTGATGCTAAATTGACTTGTTTTCTATTGCAGGTTTTAATGGAGCTTGTAGTGTTCATGAATGGTCAGGCTCCTTCCTCAATCAGTCTGTCCGCTTCAAGATGACATCTGTGTGCGGGCATGTGATGTCATTAGACTTCCCAGGAAAATTTAATAATTGGGACAGAGTTGATCCTGTAAGTAACTAAGCAACTTAATTGTTCTATGATTACATAGTTAAGAAGGTAACTTTTCTTTTAACTTTTGTAAGGTGAAGCTAGTTTTATTTTCTGTAGAACTAGGGGCTAATTATTATGCCTTTATTTTGCAAATTCTTTTCATTTTGGATTACAATGCTTTCAGTATAAAATTTAAAGATATATTTTTCTGTGGGGGAACCCCGTTGGCTTCCTGGAGTTATTGGACAGATATTGGCTAATATTAGTATGGGGCTTCAGTCATATGGAGTTGTCATGCCTACTGGGAACCACTAGCTAGAACATGGCCCCCCTCAGAGAGGTGCAGGGAGCAATGGTCTTTTGAAACTCTCATGTATGAAAGTAATCATGTTTGCACAGATAATACACGGGGTTACAACGGGCTTTGGCAGCACCATTGCATGGGCTTGCCATAGGGGCACATCCCCCTACAGGCCCTGGAAATCCCCATCGGGGCTTAGTTAACCGATGGACGTGTTCTCTGAGTCCCATCTTGCCTTGTGCAAGGGTGGTTTGTTGCCACTGTCTTAGGGTGGTGATCATCTGTTTTGCCACCGTCATGCTGCTTATTTTTTTTTTTTTTTTTTTTTTTTTTTTTTTTTTTTGAGAGAGATATACAAGAGTTGTTACATTCTTGTACAGCCACTAGTACACGTAGCATTTCGGGCAAGTCCTTAATCCTATGGTCCCTGGAATACGATCCCCTGCCGCGAAGAATCGTTTTTTCATCCAAGTACACATTTTACTGTTGCGTTAAACAGAGGCTACAGTTAAGGAATTGCGCCCAGTAAATCCTCCCCGGCCAGGATACGAACCCATGACATAGCGCTCGCGGAACGCCAGGCGAGTGTCTTACCACTACACCACGGAGACTGCTAACTACACCACGGAGACTTATTGGGTCGATGACACCTTCGACCTGGAGTCTTGTGAGACTTGTTCTCCCCTCGTGCCCCAATTTACCCTATTCTGCTACAGCCAAGGTTAAGGGCCCAGCTGCTTGTGTGTTGCATGTTGCAATGCGCTCGGTTGGTTGCCTGCTCGAATGCCCCAGGGCTGCGCCGTTTTGTTTGTTAGGAACCTGGACTTGGGGGCATTGGTCAGTCTGGCCTTGGTTCAGTCCATGCCCCCTTCGTCCTCCCCCTAGTTGGTGTAGTTCACCGTTCTCCTACCTCCCTGCTTCTGGCTCCCAAACGTCTGAGGGTTTCAGAATCGGGGCAGGGTTTAGCTAGGTATGCGACTCGGGTGGTTCCGGGGTTGCCCCATTTGAGGCATAGACAGAGGCATTTGAACTGGTTCCTCCCGCTGAGGGTTCTGGGTCCTTCCAGCAGGTCTCTTTCTTTGATGCCTTTTCTTCAAGGGTGGTGGGCATTGAGGACAGCTCTGCTCCGGATCGTGACTTGGAGGATTCCGGGGCTGGGGTGGGAGGTGGCCTGGGGTGCTGAGGCCTCTTTCGATCCTGTCTGGGCTTTGCTTCCTTCGGGGCGGGATCTGCTGTTTCAAGGTTTGGGGTTTTTGTACCCCCTTGTACGAGTTTGATTTGGGGTCGGCTTCCCCCTGGGTTCGTTTCCGGGTTCCCTTGGATTCCGCAGTGGTGTCCTTCCGGAGGTTTTCTCTCAAATTACCCCTGTGGCAGTTCGGGAGGCCCTTGGTGCCCACCTCCAGCTAGACCCGGATTTTGACTCGGTGCTCGATCCGGTCTCCATTGAGTTTGGGTCTTCTTCCCCGTATTGGATACGTTACAAGGTGCCGGCATCTTCCTCTCTTGCAGGCTGCCCTTTCTTTTTGTTGGGGGGCGTAGCATACGTTGTGTCGTACCTACACACCTAAGTGGGGGCGATTTCACTATGGTGTTGCAAGTGTACTTAGGGGTGCATTTGAGCAACTTAATGCATACGTGTATGCCTCTGTGCTTCCTCGTGAGGTTGGTGTGCTCCAGTTGCACGTACAGGTTCCCTTCCCTTTCGGCTGCTTTGGTTGTGGAGGATCTTCACGCACACGGCCATTTGGCCTCGATCCTCCGCTTCTTTTCCCTTCTCGAGCTATCCTCGGACTGGCTTGTGGAGGATGTGGAGGTGTTGACTGCCAGGTCGTCATCTGCCACACTGACCTTGACGGCGTTGCTTAAGCTGTTTGTGCCTGTCCTCTGGGAGTCTGTGTCCTTGTTTTATGCCTCTTGCCTCATGTGTCATCAGGCTGTCCTCAAACTCTGTGGATTCTGCTTGGGCCCCTGGCTCTTAGATTTTCATCTCTGTTTTGCCTGCAGTTGTTTGCGGACTTGGTTGTGACTCAACTGAGTCACAGTTGAGACAACCAAAGGATATGTTGGTTGTCTGGGGTGAGCGTTCTTATGCTTCCCTGAAGGGTTGTGCCAGAGCTCATGTATCTGCTGGTCGAGGTGGGTCTTTGGTGCCAGTTTCTGAGCCAGTGCCTACTCCGGATCCGTCTTCATCTGGTCGGCGCGGTGTTTGCTCTGCACGCAAGTAGGGTTCTCAGGAGGGTCATTGATCCTTTCGTGGGTTGCCCCGTTGACAGGGCATTAGGGGGGGGGGGAGGAGAGGGCATCTGGCTCTGATTGCCCATGCTTGGTCTCACGATTTGTGGGCATTTCAGGTTGTGTCTTCCGTCCTGAGGTGGCGTTGGGCGGCTTCTTTCTCTTGGGGGGGGGTGGGGGGCTTGGGGCCTGTGGGACAGGCTTCTTCCCCTTCCCCCCTCAGCACACCCACATCAGGGCATCCTGGAGTGGGTGCGCTTGGGCATGGTCGAAATGACCTCATTTCTCAGGTGGATTTCCCGCCTGATTCCAGTGCCAAAACGGGACTGTGCGGATCTGCGGTTCATTCTGGACTTGTCCCGTCTGAACCCTCTGGATTCCTTGCCACTCCTTTCGGATGACCATTCTGTCACAGGTCCAGCTTCTCTTGGAGCCGGGTTCTTGAATGGTATCTCTGGACCTCTGGGATGCGTATTGGCACACCCCTATTCATCTGAGCTTCAGGGACTGGTTAGGTTTTATGGTAGGTCGTCAGGCCTACTGCTTTCGTTGCCTTCCTTTCGGGCTGAATCTGGCACCTTGCATTTTAAAAAATCTAACCCGGGTCGTGGTGGCCCGGGTTTTGGCCTACCTCGACGACTGGTTGGTTTGGGCCCCCAGCCAGTCTGCGTGTCTGCTCACCAGGAGTTTAGTTCTTTCCCAGCTCACAGGGTTCGGTTTTCTGGTGAACTGGAGGCAGTCCCATCTGATCCTGTCTCAGGTTTGGACTTGGCTGGGCCTTGTCTGGGATTCCTTCTCGGCGGCATTATCAATTCCCTTGGTGGTCTTTTCGCCACTTCCTTTTGCTGCTTAGATTGTTTTCGGTCTCGGATTGTGTTGTGTTAGTTTTTCTTCCTTGGCTCTTTCAGGACAGGCATCTTATGCTGAATAATGTCACCTCGCATTGTGCGACGCCGGCGGAGCCGTTCCAACTTGCGTTTGGGGTGGATATCACTAAGGCTCCATTTTGCAAGCTTTCTCATAACTTTTTCCACCTTTGGCCTTCTCATGCACCTCCTGAGCCATCCTGGTCTTTGGACTGGGTGCTCTCCTTTCTCTCTCTCCTCCTTGGTTTGTGGTGGCTCCTTCGGTCCATGACTGTTTCCAGAGAGCATTGTTCTTATTAGCTTTGGCGTCTGGGGGTCAGGTCAGGAAGCTTCATGCTTTCCTCCAGCATAGATATTTTGCTCTTTTGACTCAGGTGGACGTTTTGTTCATTTGCAGCCCTCTCTTTTCTGGCGAAGAACAAGACGGCAGGCTTCCAGAGGGGTCAGTGGGGTTATTGATGCTTGGTTGGTCGGGCCGGGAGTGCATCATGTTTTGTTTCCGGTTGCGGCTTTACGGCGTTACCTGCGCGCCTATGCTTCTGTGCCCAGGGACGTGCCATGGGTTGACCCAGTATCTCTTGTTACCTGTTTCAGGGAACACACACTCAGGTTCTCTCAGGTCGTTCGCAGGGTTAAGTCTAGCCAGCCTGCAGTCTACCATTGTGCCCATGATGTTCGTAAGTTTGCAGCTTTCACTGCTGTGTTTGGTAATATGTCTTGGGCTGACTTTCAGGCATGGGGGTTTTGGAGATTGAACAGGGTCCTGGCTGCCCGTTACCTTGTTAATGTGCCTGGCCCTCAGCGGTCTTGTCTCGTCTTAGGTTGGCGGTTGCAGCCAGTTGTCTCATCTTCGTTATGACTTGTGTGGTGTAGCTGCCTTCCAGTTAAGTCCCTGTTTTCCTGCTCTTTGGGTAGTTAGCTACAGGAAGTAGATGTAGCTTCCCCGCAGAAAACCAGCGTTGAATGTAATGAAACGCCATTTTCTGGGTAGAGCCCCGGAGGCTTCCTGGCACCCTCTCTCTCTCCCCCCTGTCGGCAGCTTTTGTTTCCATTTTCAGTCTCCAAACTGACGGTCCACTTGCAGACTCAGTGGGCCTGGGGGGGTTGGGGGGAAGGCGCGAACGAGTGGCGCGCTGTGTGATGACATGTTGCTTGTTAGTTTGTTTTCCTTGAGGGAGTTTCTAGCTTCTGTTCGGTTTCGGGTTGCAATTTTTCTACCAGGAGGGGTCTGTTTTGGAGTGCCTAACTTTCTGGGTGCTCAATCCCAGTCAATGGCAGACATAATTACTTTCATCCATGAGGGTTTCATAGGCCATTGCTCCCTGCACCTCTCTAAGGGGGCCATATTCTAACTAGTGGTCCCCGGTAGACATGACAACTCCATATGACTGAAGCCCCATACTAATATTAGCTAATATCAGTCCAATAGCTCCAGGGAGCCTCCGGGTCTCACCCAGAAAATGGTGTTTCATTACATTCAACGCTGTTTTCTGTGGGGAGCCCCGGAGGTTCCTTGGAGCTTATCGGGCTTATGTATGTTATATTAGACCGGGACATTAGCTAAGGAGTTCAGACCTACCAGGGACCAGTGCCAGAACCTGGCCCCTTCAGAGAGGTTT